GATCAAGAAGTACAAATTGGTTGTTATGGGGATATATAGTACAGCATAGAAAATGTAGTCAATAATATTCTAATAACTAGATGTGGTGGTGGATGGTTGTAGGGTTTATTGGGATGATTAAGTATTAAATTATGTAATGTCTGGTCACTGGGATGCATACCTAAAACTAATGTAAAGATGTATATCAACAGTAATTGAAAATGAAAAATGATTAAATAAATAAAACAAAAAATACAAAATAAATTATCTGTAAGCATGGACAATGACAACAGTAGACCATTGTACGTTGTCAACTGAAAGCAGTAACTGATGGTTATAGCAATTTTCTTAAACATCAGCCAGCCTTGTCTTCAGTCATTTCCTTCAACCTACTTCTCTGAAGTTTTTGGTGTGGTGCACTGCGTTCAGCTTCCTTTCACAGTTCTCATTAATGATGGTAAAGCACTATTCTAGGATTAGAACATGCCACTTCTCATACCACCTCCCACTCTCATGCATTCTATCATTCTCATGCATTCCAGGGTCTTTCTCTTCTTTAGGAATTTCTGTCAATACAGCTTCTGCTGTTAACAAAGAGGCCACTCCAGCAGCATCCAATAAAGCAGTTCTTACTACCTTAATTGGATCAATTATTCCTGTTCTACCAAATTCACAGTCTCCAAGCATAGTATTATAACTAACTTCTGAGCAACTTTGCATAATTTTCTCAACTATCAGTGATCCCTTGACACCTACATTCTTAGCAATCGTCATTGCAGAATTTTTGAATGCTTTATAAATAACTTCTATGCCATTTTTTTTAAATCTTCATTAGCTGGAATTAATGAGTCCAAGGCCAGAATGCACCAAAGCAAGGCACAACCCCCTCTAGGAACAATGTCATACTCAACAGCAGCTCATGTAGCATTGAGATAAGCATCTGTTACTCTTTCTTTTACCAGATCCAGCCGGTATCACAGGTCCTGAAGGTAGGGCTAGGAGGTTTAAGAGAAATAAAGACAAGAGAAAGCGGGGCTTCAGGAGGACTGCTAGTCCATGGTGAGACTGCAGCAGCTTTATTAGTTGCAGGCGTACATTTATGCGGCCTTTCTGGGCGTTTCTCCAAGTGCCCCTTTCCCAGGACAAGGCCGCCCGTCAGCTCCTTAAGGCGTTCTTGGAAAAAGATACATAGAGCAGGCATCTGGCTAGATATCATTGAGAACAGCTTAGCTGAGAACATCCAGATAAGTCATGCATCACACGCACTCCCTAACAATGGGGCTATGGTCTGCCCTGTCCCTAGTTGACCCTGAAGGCTTAGGGGAGAGCAGGTAGGCGTCCCTACCCTGTGCTCAATCCCCTGTAGGAGAGCAGGTAGGCGACCCTACCCTATGCTCCATCCTTGCCCTCGGGCCCCATAGAACACGGCTTCCCACATTCTTTTCATTCACTTCAACATCACTTGTCCCAACAACCTTCAGCCCAGCTACTCCATCTGAGAGTTTTGCCAGACATTAATTTAGGTTTTCCCTTTTCATATTCATTAGTTGTGATATTTAACTGATCAGTGATTTCTTGAATATGTTTTTCCTTAGTTGAGCCTTGTTACCTTTTCCTTTCAAGAACAAGGCATCAACTTTGGTCACAATGACCTCTCCAACTTTTCCTAAGTCGTGAAGCTGAACATTTTCAAGATTTCTAGTCAATCCTTCTTCTTCAAACACTGCACCACCAATATCAATAGCCATGTCTTTAAGCTGGTTCTATTGTCACCTAAACCTGGAGCTTTGACTGCTACAACCTGAAGGCCAATTGTTAATCTATTCAAAGCACGTGTACTTAGAGCTTCTCCATCTACATCTTCAGCAATTATGACTAAGGGCTCTTGGTGAGCATTGGGAGTTTCAAGAGCAGGTACAATGGTCTCAACACTAGAAATTTTCTTCTCCCTCAATATAACATAGGCATCTTGGAATTCACATTTCTGACCTTTTGCTGTATTAATAAATTATGGAGAAATATAACTCAAATCAAACTTCATGCCATCAATAATTTCTAACTAATCATTTAGTGTTTTATCATCCTTTACTATGATGACACCCTTTCTTCCAACCTTTTTCATCACATCATAAATGATGTTGCCAATTTCTTCTTTTTTTTAAATATATTTTATTGATTTTTTACAGAGAGGAAGGGAGAGAGATAGAGAGCCAGAAACGTCGACCAGCCGCCTCCTGCACATCCCCCACAGGGGGTGTGCCCTCAGCCAACGTACATGCCCTTGACCGAAATCGAACCCGGGACCTTTCAGTCGGCAGACTGATGCTCTACCACTGAGCCAAACCGGTTTCGGCTGATGTCGCCAATTTTTTTGTCTCTATTTGCAGAAATTTTGTAGCAACCCGAGCTATTTCTTCAGGGGTTGTTTCGACTGCTTTTAAATTTTAGAAATTACAGCATCAACAGCTAACATCACATATCTCCTGATCTCCATTGGATTAGCACATTCACTGATATTTTCAACGCCTTCCTTGGCAAGATAGTGTGTGCCAGTACACTAGTAGTGGTAATGCCATTCCCAGCCTCTTCATTTGCATTATTGGCAACATCTTGAACAGGTTTAGCACCAATATTTTTATATTTATCTCTTAAGACTTAAGGCAATGGACTTTGCAAATATCACACTATCTTTTGTTAATTTGGGACTGCCCAAACTCTGTTCAATAATCACTGTTCTTCTCTTTGGCCCTATAGTAATGGTACAGCATCAGCTAAAAGATCTATACCTTGAAACACTGAGGCTTGGGCAACTGCACCAAAATTTACATCTTTGTCATAATCCTGAGTGAGATGAGGAGCCAGTGCCCTGGAAACTGGCCTAATCTGACAAAGGACTTTGTGTAGTTAGCTTCGATGCAGGCAAGCTGTGAGACAGGCCATCAACAGTGAGTAATGCTGCATTAGAATTGGATTACTTAGCTCTGTTCTTCTCTGTTATATAAAATAAATGTTTCATATCATTTACTTATAGAGGGAATAAGGTAATATTTTTCTTTTTATATTTCTATGTTTAAAATTACCTTTCCTAATAAGAAAATGACCAACTCTTTATTGACTTTCTACTTGTTTTTACATTCTCCCCCTTATTCTTCTAGGATTAATGATAGCCCTTTTTCACTAGCATCATCACTGCTATCTAATTCACAGCATAATTGTGCAAGCATATTTAATGCTGGGTTTGATTTAATATGTAATACATATAGTGAGGTAATACCCCTAACAGCTGCAGTTTCTTACTTGGCTAAGATATCTCATATTTAAGTGTTAGCTTTCTACTTTGGTGAAATCATATCAGCAGATGTCAGAAGGAGGGATTCCCTTTGATGTTTGATCTTTTACTTAAGAAATACCATTAAAATTCTCTTTGTATTTTGGAGAATATGGGGTTTGAATTAATTGAAATACATAGAGAGGAACCTAACTTTTGGATTGAGAATGAATTATAAAATTGATGAGATACAAAGTTGTTCTTCATTGTGCAGTTGTTGGCATTATGAAAGATTTTAATGTTCTTCTATTCAGCTCTTAAGTACTGAAACCATATTTCCACTTCTCCTTTCTCTCCCTCCCTCTGCTCCAAGGATAAAGAAAATGATAATTTTTTCATTGTACATTCAATTCCCATATTAAATAAGACTAAATGTAGGCACTGTACCAGGAATTTTTAGATTTTTACCTGTATTTCAATTAAAATGCTAGTGTTTAAAAACAATTTCAAGGAATGATATCATCTGCTTTGCTTATTTAAAGCATCAATGGTAGAAGCATTTAAGTAAATTCTATAGAATACATTTTTGAAATAGCAGATCTCTGAAGTCATAAATTGATTTAGATTCTAACCCTTTTCTGTACTCAAGCAGATGAAAATGCATCTATTATATAAATGAGAAAACCTTGTAGGCTAATTGAACATGCATTTTAAACCCTTTAAAAATACTCAGCATATTTTAAAAAGATAAATTGTGTAAAACCTCATTACATTCAACAGATGAGCATACACAATCAATTTTTATAGAGATCACTAACTTTGAACCACAATTAAGCAAAATGTTATTCTCCCAAAAGACGTACACTCTTCTTATTAATAGACCTTTATTATTAAAATTGTATGCAATTAGCATTATACTTTTAGTTTCAAGAATAAAATAGTTGTGGACATTTGTTTTCTCTCTTGTTAAATGAGTATCTACATAGTAGTTTCAAATGTACTTCTGAGTTACCAAACCCAAAATTTTTATTCTCTGCCCTTTACAGCAGTGATTTTCAACCAGTTTCATCTCATGACATACATAAAGTAATTACTTAAATTCTTTGGCACACCAAAAAATATATTTATGACTGATCTGGAGGGGGGGGGGGTACAATTTTGATTCATTCACACTGACAGCTAGTGTGTTGGCATTATCAATTTTTTAAATATATTTTTATTGTTGGTATTATTACAAATATCTCCCATTGTCATCTTTTTAATGTAAAAAAGGTCAGTGCCCCTAACTAGTCAGGTATTCCACGTTTTTAAAGTTCCTATGACACCCTTAAAAATTACTGCACCCAGGGTACCTCCATATTGGACTACTATAGATTTCAGACAATCACAAAATTGAAAGGGCAGGACTTGTGTGGACCTGCAGGTAGCTCAGGACCCTAAGGCCTCAAAGTCATTCATTGGACAAACAGCATGTCAATCCTCACTTCCCAGCCAATGAGCGTGAAGCTTGTAAGGAGCAGACACGGCCCTTTGTTGATTCATCTGGCCCCACCCCCGTGGCGTGGGGAAGCCTTGGTGGGTTTCCGGCCATTCACCCCTGCCTATCAAAGGCCATTGCCCACTTGACAGACAGCTCCTCCACTGCCCCGCCCCCTCCCATGATCCTCCTGTCAGCGGCCTCCTCTCCCTGGCCGCCATCTTGGCCAGCGACGCCACAGCCCTATCGCTGCCTGTAGAGGTACTGTCCGCGGGCATGTCTGACAGAGATGATGGAAGCCAGGCCCCAGGTGGCCAGGAGAGCCCCGTGGGTGTGGTGGGAGCCTGGGTCAGGGAAGATGGAGAGCAGGATCCCCTGATCCTCAGCTCCGGGCCCCAGGGGGAAGGGGATGACGCCGCTGCCGCCATAGTGGCCTCAGAAGTCGCAGAGGCCATGGAGAGCCTGGGGGAGGAGGCCGGGGCAGTGGGAGACCCTGAAAGCCGCACCAGTGAGGAGGATTCTGACATTGGCCCAGCAGAGGAGAAAGAGGAGGGGGAGGAGGAGGAGGGAGAGGAGGAAGAAGAGGAGGAGGAAGAGGAGGAGGAGGAGAACTTGGTGCCAGGCCGGAACATGGTGATGGACCCCAACCAGTTACCCTTGGCTGGTTTCCACATTGTGTTCCCGGACCTGGTGCGCACAATGCTGCCCCGCCTGTACCACAATGACCACATCCTCGTGCGTCCCCACGGAGGCCGCAGTATCATCCTGCCCAGACATCACCTGCCAGGTCAGGCGGCCCAAATTCGCATGCCAGATGCCTCTGGAGAGGGTGCTGCAGCTGTGCTGCCTGAGGACTTCAGCAACAGAGCCGTAGGCTCTGGAGAGGGGTTCCCGGCCCCAGATCCTGAGGACAAGGTGGAGGCCAAGGTCGAGGAGGAGTCTGCGCCTGGGGAGATGGCAGAGGAGGCACAGGAGGAGCCCACGCAGGAGGCCGAAGCCCCCCAGGGTGAGGATCTTGCGGAGCGGAGCGGATAGGGTCGGGTGGTGAGGCTCCGGGAGCAGGGAGGGCCCTGGCAGGGGGTGGGGGGAGAGGGGGGGCCGCCTATGAGCAGCGGTGGCACAGCTGGCACACTGGCCTGTCATGCTCTCTCCGCTGGGTGGGGGCCCTCAACACCCTGCAGGCCGAGGAGAAGCCCAGCTCCATTATGGCCTTCTCCGCCTTGAGGGGGAAAGTACGTTGCCCTCTCCCGACCTCTGCTAAGAAATCTGAGCTCCGTGCAGTTCACTGCCCACAGACCAATGTCCGACTGTCCCAGGGGCAGATGTTCAGGAGGGAGCCGGGGAGGACACGGACGGGGGGCCTGAAGGAAAAGAACAAGCAAATGGCATACCTGGTGTTTGGTTCTTGGCTTCTGAAAGTGTCAAGATTCTTAGAAAGTTGTTCCCCAAACATTAAGAACTGATTCTGAGGACTTTGTAAAAATGAAATATTCAGGGGGTTGAGGAACTAATGTGCTTCACCATATAATTTGTCCCTGAGGCAAAAATATTTTCCCAAGACAGTTCTGATTAGAACATTCAGAATACCCTAGACCCTGGTTATCCTGATCCCTTTTTCTCTGAAAAACCAGAAGTCATCAACAGCTCATGTTTATTAGAAAAAGAGAAATAATGTCACTGTGAAACCGATCAAGCCGCAGAGATGTGAGGGCCATGGGACTGTTGCAGCAACTAGTAGGAAGGTGCCTTCCTAGTCTTTTCCTAGTTACTTCCATCCTCCTACTTCTCCTGAGGGTTTATGTGTGTCCCCATTCATTATGAATTGGGATTTTCTTCTGTGAATGTCTGATCCCAAAGCCTGTCTTATTCTTCACTAAAGAAACAACTGAAGAAGAGGCCCAGGGTGCTGAAAGTAAGGAAGACAAGGAGGAGTGGAACAAAAAACAGGAACCTGAAAAGAATATGGATCCAGCAGAGAGCAGGTACAGAAAATCCAGGTATCTGTGTATAGCTTTGAATATCACACAACCATTTCTGGCATTTACCTATTACTGACAGCAATTCTCCCAGTAAATTAATTAAGAAAAAAACATTTGTTTAAAACTAGCTTTAAAATTCAATTTTGTCTACTTAGAATGTTAATAGACTACTCATACAACTAGTAATATAAAACACATTATTATTGAACTATACTTCATGGCTACTCATTTGTTCTCATGAAGTCTTCTGTCCACTACCTGTAAAGACTAATGAATGGTAAATATATCCGTACCTAAGGCCAATATTTGTTTAGAAAACAGTTGCTAGATGCAGCAGCTAAACTAGCTGGGCTGTGTGGTTGGGCCTTTATTGCTTGGCCATAGAAATGCATTCTGATTATTATGCTAAGTGAACTAAACCAGTTAAAGACAAATACCATATGATCTCAGTTATATGTGGACTCTAATGAACAAAACAAATTGATAAACAAAATAGAAGCAGAGGCATAGATACATGGAACAAACTGACAGCTGTCAAAGAGGAGGGTGGTGGGGAGGACTAGTTGAAAGAAGGTGAAGAGATTAGCCAAAGAACATATGATATATGCCTAACCCATAGACACAGCAAATATATGGTGATGGCCAGAGGGATAATGGGGGCAGGGACTGGATGGAGGTGGGCAAAGAGGGGTGGTAAATGGGGACATCTGTAATCGTGTCAACAACAAAAATAAAGTTAAAAAAGAAATCAGTCTCCTATACAAACTAGGAGACAAGGACTACTTACAAACAGCAAAAAGTTAACAATTTCAAGTAGGACCACATTTAATGATGAATACCTAAACCTTTGGTTGTAGATTTTTGTATTTTGTGTGACAGTCAAAAGAAAAGAAACTTAGTCATTGTATGATTACTGTTTATCACTGAATTGGTAATTAAGTCTCAAGGTTTATCTTTGTGTGTTATTTAAATGATTAATTTTTTTCTCTCCTTTTTGGCACATTTATAGCTGTATATTTTATTACTAGAGGCCTGGTGCACAAATTTGTGCATGGGTGGGTTCCCTCGGCCTGGTGGACAATAGGGTGATCGAGGCCATCTCGCCCAGTCCCGATCAGGCCGCTGGCTGAGGGAGGGACGGTGGGAGGTTGGCTGTGGGAGCACATTGACCACCAGAGGACAGCTCCTGTGTTGAGTGTCTGCCCCTGGTGCTCTGTGCACATCATAGCGACTGGTTGTTTGCTTGACCAGTCGCAATGGTTGCTTAGGCTCTTAGATATATAGATAGCCTCTCATACGGGAGATATGGAAAACTTAGGGCCTGGGTGGTTAAGGAAGTGTCACTTGTGGAGTGAGCACAGGCTTTTAAGGTGGAAAGATTTATTTAAATCCCAGTTTGGCCTCTAGGGAAAAGAAAAGGCATTTATGGTGTCAGGCAAGAGGGAGACAAGTTGGTATGATCACAATTGAAGCCATCGGTTATAGGAGTGCCCTATATCCAAAGGTGCAGGTTACAATTAGCAGATATTTGGCCCTGTCCAAAAGTCCACAGAGACATTTGGTCTATGCCCAAAAGTCCTTGATATTTAAATTCTGTTTTTCTGCAAGATTGGAGCCCTGAGCCACGACCTAACCCCATGTGCATTAGGAGCTAGGCTACTGAGGCAAGAAGGGTTACTATTGGCAATTTGGCCAAAATACAATTATTGGACCAATAAAACATGATAGTATTTTTACGTATTAATCCTATAAATCAGAAGTGTATATAAAGATTATGGGCTTTTTGAATCCAGTATGTTTCTTAAGCATGGGCATTCTAGACAGAACCAACTATCAAGGCATCTTAGTATGGACCAAATTTCTCAATAGATCTCTTGGACAGAACCAAATGATCTGCAAGGCAGGTTGCAAGAGGGAAGCATGTTGTTCTCTCCTTATTGAGATATAGCGCACAAATGCAGCAGGTACACATAGGGCTATTTTTTTAGATTTAGAAAGTCAGTGAAGTTGATTAATGCCTTGTAAGTGCTAATTTTCTCTCATTTCATCCTGCAGTTTGGAGAACTAGAAAGAAGATAGAGAAAGAAGAAATAATTTATTGTTTCCTCTTTTTAAGTTTTTAATTTTCATAAATCCATGTTAAGAAACAGTGATATCATTCCGAAGTTCATCACCCAAACAGTGCTATCTATTGATATCTAAGTTTTATTTCTTATAGCTAAATTTGGCAGCATTTGTTTTAATTAAAAATACATTTGTTTCAATTAATAAATTGAAATGCAGGCAGAGCTTATTTAGATGAATAATCCCAACTCATATGTCTCTTATCTCTTTGTTTCAAAAGATATCACTTTCCACATTTTGTAAGCCTGTTTTAAATTGTTTTATGGCAGCCCAAAATAAATTAAAATGTCAAGGTGAAAACAATTTTTGAAAGAGAGATGATGTCAAGCCTTTAGAGCTGCTCTGTCTGATTTGAAATGTGCTTAACTGTAAAAGGTGTTACCATTCTCACTAATAAACTGCATACTGATTACCTGTTTAAATGATAATATATTGAGTTAAAATATACTATTAAAGTGAATTTGCCTGTTTTTCTTTTGATGCAGCTACTAGAAAACTTAAAATTACACATGACTTGCATTATATGTCTGCTAGCCAGAGGGGCTCTAGAACAGTTTTGAAGGAAACCTCATAGATGGCCCAGCATGCCAGGAGACCAGAGGGCACTGCTGAGCCTGGGCCCAGACATTGATCTGGAGCAGTGGTTCTCATTGTTTGGTCCCCAAAACAGCACCATGAGCATCAGCCAGGAATTCTTAGGCTCCACCCAAGACCTACTCAATCAGAAACTCTAAGGGTAGCCCAGCAGCCTGTTTTTAGCAGGCTCTGCAGGGGATTCTGATGAAGTGCAGGCTTGAGAAGGACTAGTTTAAAGGTTTGAGAAGCACTAGTAAGGCCACAGGGGAAGAGGCTGAGACTCACCCAAGGTAGGACCAGCCTTAACTCACTGACTTGGAACTGTTGCAGGTAAACTGAACAGGATGGTAAGGGCTGGACTGCGGATAGCAGAACTTACAGGAACTGAGAGATGGGGGGCTGAGAGCACGTGATGGCAGCAGAAAAATGCATAAGGGGGGAAAACTGGTTCAAGAAGGATACAAACATAATACCACATACATGAAGTCTAAAAACATGCAAACTAATCACCATATATTGATTGTGGATATAAGTTTCTGAAGTAAAAAGCATGCTCATAGGAACTGTGTACCAGCATGTGTGGGAAAGATAAAACACTTCATTTAGGATTATGGTTACCTCTTGGAGAAAGAAAAGGAAAGGATCTTATTAAGGAGGGTTCCACAGTGGGCTTTAACTTAAGAAATGTAAGGTTACTTGCCACACTCCAGCTTAGTGACACCCTGAGACCTCGCCCCACCCTGAGACCCCACCCCACCTTGAGGCCCCGCCCCGCACACAGCAGCTTCTGCATATAAATGGCCTGCACTGTGGCAGGTTAATGAAATAAACTGCAGCTCCAGTCAGACTTCTCCAAAACCGCCAAGGCCCAAGCAAAGAGGAGAAAGCTATAGTTCTTCCTGTAGCTCTTGCAGGGTGGCCTCAGATAGCAGCTGACCTGCACCCCATTAGAGATCCAGAAACTAGTGTATCTAGTGGTCGATGTGAGACAACACCAGATTTCAACTATTTTCATAAGGGATACATTCAAGAGGCAGACTCAGTGAATACCAAAGCCTACTGGAACAAGTCCTGCCTCATAAATATGTCTCCAGCACAACAATTCTTCCATTAAAGATACAGCAGGTCCCCACAGCCAATTGGCCTGGAGGTCAATTCCTCCCAGTGACACCAACAACAATTAAGACTTAACTACAACAAGGCTGTACACACAGTCCACAAAGGGGTGCACCAAGAGTGTCCACATCAAGTAACTGGGAGGCTGACCCATTGAACCATATAGGACACCCAGCAAACAAAGCTACCATACCAACTCAGGGAAGCAGCAAAAATGAGGAAATAAGGAAACAGATCACAAACGAAAGAAATGGAGGAGAACATATGTTGGACACAGAGTTCAAAACCACAGTTATAAGGTTTTTCAAGAATTTCCTAGAAAAGGCTGATAAATTTAGCGAGACCTTCGAGGATATAAAAGAGACCCTTGAGGATATGGAAAAGGACTAACTAGAAAGTAAACATACACTGACTGAAATAAAAAAATATTATACAGAGACCCAACAGCAGACTAGAGGAACACAAGAATCAAGTCAAAGATTTGGAATACAAAGAGGCAAAGAACACTCCTCCAAAGAAGCAAGAAGAGAAGAGAATCCAGAAAGTTGAAGATACCCTGTTTCCCCCAAAATAAGACAGTGTCTTATATTAATTTTTGCTCCCAAAGATGCACTAGGTCTTATTTTCAAGGGATGTCTTATTTTTCCATGAAGAAGAATACAGTACACATTTATTGTTAAATGAAAATAAAGGAAATTTATTACCTGTATACGGTACGGTAGTTGTCAACACAAACCAGACAAACTGTGAATCCTACAGTATCAAGAATTTACTCATTTATTCAATGACAATCATGTCATCATCTTCTGGAACATCATCATTACAATCCAATTCCTGAATTTCCTGGTGAATTTCTTGTGACTCCATTTCTTTCAGAATCAGTGGACCAAATCTCTCATGTTTAGCAATAGCACTGTCTTTAAATGAGTATTTCTTGTCAAGGTAGCCTGCTCGCAGTGCATTTGCAATGCAATTGTCAGTGATTTTCTCCCATGAATTCTTCACCCAAGTTACAAATTCTTGCAGTTTAGGTTTCACAAAGTTTCCATGCTGATTTCTCTCCATTCTATTTTCAATGTAGTCATTAATTTCCATGCGCAAATTGTCTTTGAATGGCTTGTTTATTGCAATATCAAGAGTCTGGAGATAGACCGTCATTCCTGCATGAATCATAATCTGATCTATTTTTCTTTCGTGAAGAAATGTCTTCATGTCT